CGGCCGCCACGACCACCGCCGCGGCCGCCACGACCACCGCCGCGGCCGCCACCACGTCGGTTGAGTCCCAACATCTCCTGCATTGTTTCCCTCTGCTTCTCCCGCGCGATGAGTTTCTGGTACGCCAGGGGCGTGGCGGCTGCGTAAAGAACACCATCTGTGGGGTTTGACTTCACGACAAAGAGCTGCTTGCGCTGGTCCAGGAAGTTTTTGAGACCACCGTACTTCTCAGAGATGGCCTCCTGGATGTCGGGCACCAGCTGTGCGTTGAGGCTCTTCACAGAAATTGCGCCGTTCTGCGGAATGTGTTTGACAATACTCGTGAGCATCTTCCAGTCATCACGCATCACGATACGTGTCATGTCGCTGAGCTCACCATCCCCTGTTTGGTTGATCAAGCGTGGAACAGTAGAGCCTCGGCCACTGCCACCACCACCACCATCCCCGCCATTTCCATTACCAACGCCGCCTCTGCCTCGCCCGCCCCCACCGCCGCGGCCACCGCCAAAGGTGCCTTGGGCACGTGCCGAGATAAAGAGCGCCATTGTGCGGCTCTCGGCGAGGCTGTTGTTGCCAGGTTGCAACGCGGCTGCTGTGTTGCAGCCGGCTGCGAAGATGCCACTGCCAGCGTATGCTCGTTGAATTACCCGCCGCATATGAGTTCCTTGAAATAATTTGTTTAGCGATGTATCCTTCTGTTATCTATAGATACGAGTATACTCGCACGCGCGTACGTCTGAATATGTATGTATGTGTGTGTGTGTGTGTGTGTGAGAATAAATTACCGCAGCAGCAACCCAGGCGAATAATCCTTCTTGCCGCCGGGTGCCCCCCTCTTGCTTTGCTTTCCTCCGCAGTGCCCCCTGTACTTGACTCGCTTCCTACCAACCCACGCAATGCGGACTTTCCTGCACGCTCCTTATGCTCTCGGCTATCCTTCTCCTTTCCACGGCAAAGAAACAAAGAAAAAGGACCACAACACAAGAAAACACAAATATATGGGGAGAGAAGAAAAAAAAAAAAACATATCAAGATGACTCCACGGGCTGAATCTGGGTTGAGACACACCACAAATGGGACTCTGATGTCCTCATACCACTATCTTTGCGTGGAGCACATGCGTGAATGAATGTAGTGAGTGTGGGTGGTATAAATGACAAAGTAATCCACTGGAGTAATAGGGAAGGGTAGAAGAGGGTTATGCCTTGTCGCCGTTTGTTGCCACGTGGCTGGCTTGCTTGCTGGCTAGTTGGCAGGTTTGTTCACCATGTCAACGCGCGCCCATCGACAACCCCCTCCTCCTCCTCCTCCTCCCCGGCCCCACAACGCAGACACTCTGTCCGGGGCACATGTGCAGGAAAACAAGGTGGAAGCTTGCGCACACACATCAGCCACACACAGGCAGATAAACACATAGGCACAATTTCTACTTCTCATTCCCACACCCCGACCTGATTTCCCGTTCCCTTGCTTCTTCTTGGTATTCCTTCTGCCGCATAGACGTACTCACCACACACACATTGTTACCACCAACGCACACAGGTCAGGGCCCCATACTTTGGCCTCATCGCGGACAAATAAAAGGAAAAAAGAAAATGCAAACATAAAAAAAAAAAGACACCTTCACACAAGGAGGAGTAAATATATTTGATATTCAAGGTACCAAGCAAACAAACCCAAATTCCCCCCCCCCCTTTCTACAGAGAAGCTCACTCTAC